CCCTTGGATAGCGAGCGGACACCACATGATGAGCCCTCGCCTGATCCAATATGCTCCATGCACTCCTGCAACAGAAGATGCGTGATCTCATTTACGAGACTGGCCTATCGGGCATGCTATGCGGCAGTGAAACTATCTCACCTTCAGATCTATCCAACAGCTGGAACGGAGCTGCACGAGAGCCGGAGCCGTTGGTGTCCTCGTCGCTTCCTGCTGAGTTGTCCTCGTACGGAGCTGCATCCTCGTCTACCTTCATGGTCTCTGCCCCCTCACCAGTACGCTCCTCCTCACCAGTAGGCTCCTCATTACGCGTCTCTGACTCTCCACTCCACGCCGAGGTAGTCGCGGGCGCACTATTAGTACCTTCATCTGAGACGGCACTCCGCGCGGAGCTCTCACCGCTTGCAGCATCCTCCATGCTATCGCTGGTGGTCTGCTCAGGCCTTGGTCTGCTCAGGCCTTGGGGCTAACCGTGGGTCCGCTGCTACTCTCGTCTGTGGGCAGGGTGCGCATGCACTTGGTGCTTGGCAGGGCAGCACGTCCTGTGCGGTGTGCGCGGGGGATTTTGGTTTGAAATCGGTTCTGTAGAGTGGGTTCTCCAGGCGTTTTTCGTATTGGCAGAGGCCTCTTTCCTGACAACGTTGGCAGATTCCCGGGCGCCGAGGTAATCAAGATTAGACTACATACTTCCAAATATAAGAAAATGAAAAGAACAACAAGAAACTTGAATGCTGTATCGCGCACAATCAATACCTCATGCGCGGGAAACAAAACAAAACCAACACACAACCCATCAGAAAAACAATAGATGCTCATGCCAAATTCATCACAAAATCACGGACTTGAAAGTGTCCTTCGGCAAGCCCTTCGTAAGAAAATCTGCACGCTGGTATGGCGACGGCACGTGGATCACCGAAATTTACTTCGTCTCTACCAGTTCCCTGAGAAAATGGAGCCTTACATCAATGTGCTTCGAGTTCGAGTTTGAGATGGGGTTCTGCGCTAGTTGAATCACCCCTCTGTTGTCCTCGAAGACTGGGATGCACGGCATGCTGACCTGCGGCAACATGAAACGCCAAATCTGCTTCAACAACAAGATCTCGTTCACTACGTCACCAAGCCCGACGTACTCTGCTTCTGTCGTCGAAAGCGTAACACACTTCTGCGTTCTGGAAATCAAGACACGGCGCCTCCTCTACACGTCACGATCCCCCCTGATACCGACCTACGGTCTGCTGCCTTGGTTGCAAAATCCGCATCAGCGTACCCCTGCAAGCTGAATCCCTCTACCGTACCTCTCCGAAATACCAAAGTGACGCGTCCTCCTCGCATACCCTAAAATATCTATCGCTGCATCCCTGTGGACCTGCTTTGGAGATGGGCAATACCTAGCTACTGCCCTTACTGCATTCGCAATGTCTGGTCTAGTCTGAGTCGCCAGCCACATTAAAGACCCGACTAGTTCACGAAACGGAAAGTCTGTCGCCACCTCATCCGCATCAAAATCAGAAAGCTTCACCCCCGAAGACATTGGAACGCTCTTACCTCCCACTACTCCATACTCTGCTGCTAGCTCATCCGTGAAAGTCTGCTGAGAAATCGTCAACCTACCGGTCTCCTTATTCCTCTCGTAAAAGCACCCAGAATACCATCTCAACTCTTCCAGGTTCTTCACTGTCACGGACTTGTTAAGGTCGGCGCCAAGCTTGTCACATGTCTCCCTCTCTCCCACAGCAAAAATGTCATCTACATGTACTACCAAAATCAAAACAACACATCCATCCTCAATCAAACGAAACACACAGGCATCGGCCATGCACTGCTCAAAACCTAACGCCACCAAACACCTCTTCAGCATTGCATGCCACTGCCTAGATGCCTGTCTCAAGCCGTACAGACTCTTGCCTAGTTTTACAATCATTCCAGATAGAGCTCCACATCCCTGCGGCGAACGCATGTACACGTCTTCCTCCAACTCCGAACGCACAAAAGCTTGCTCAATATCGAAATGACACAAGTCGAGGTTCAACTCGCACGCCAAAGCAGCCAACATCCTAACACATGAAACAGAAACGGTAGGCGCGTACAACTCTCCAAAGTCAATGTACTCTCTCTGCATATCACCTCTCGCTACAAGTCTCGACTTAACCTTAGTGGGCCATCCAAACTCATCTGCCTTCCAATCGAATACCCACTTATCGTTTATTGCGTTCTCCACTAGTTGTTGCTTCGCCGGAGTACAGGTCCCCGCTTCCAACAAGCCATAAAACTCCCTTTGCATAGAGTCGCTTCGCAGGTGCCGGTGCCCCGACGCCATGGCCTCTTTGTAGCTCATTGGAACATGAAGGTCGCTGGCCTGGCAATGCCGAAGGTCAGGGCGTTGCTCCGGCGGGCGCTGGTCTCGCAGCGTGGCGTCGATGTCTTCCCGGTTGGCGAGGAGCGTGACAAATGCGAGTGGAAAGCCCGCTCCTTCAGCCCACGGGTCCACCGCTGCGAGTGCTCCCGCCTGCTCTCCGCCCCCCGCTCCCCCCGGCTCTCCGGCCTCCGCCCCCCCCCAGCTCCCGGCGCTCCTCGTCCACCGCGCTCCGAGCCTCCAGCATCGACACCAGATTGTTGTTATCTAGCATCGAGTCCTGTGCTGTGCATTGTGCCCGATCTCGTACGGCTTGGCAGCCGCGGGTCTGTCATACCCTCGGCCTTTGTACCCGGGCGAAGCTGCCGCATGGCGTGAGCCGTAAGCGGGGGCATCGCGGGGTCCGGCGGCGGCGGCGGCTG